GTATTAGGGAGTTATTAAGAGATAATAATACCTAATCATTTACTTGCTACTTCTTGTTCTCTATAATCCATATCATCTGCTTGTTGGGCTAGATATCCATACACTCACTCCACTCGAAATCTTTGGGCTTATGTGTTGGGTCCAAGGGTTGAAGGAATAAACCTCAACAAGTGTTTTTATTTAAGCACAATCACTTGCAAACAGAGCCGTAGTCGGGGGCGTATCCACCATAAGGTCAGTTTCCCTCATTTGACTTTTTTATCAAAAATTAAACTTTAGCGTTTTAGAAAAAAATCAACACATGCTGAAAGGCACCTACATATTCGACTATGAAATTAGAAATTCCCAATCTCTTATAAAAATTAAACATTTGGTCATATTCTGAACGAAGTGATGGTACAACTGTTTTAAAATATGAAAGAACGTACAGTCTAGTATTTCTAGTAAAATTGTCTGAAACGTTTTAGGTTAATTTGAAATTTTTTGCTCAACTTTTATATCGAACTAATTGTACCATTTTCGTCCCTTAAAATTTGATCACGTTTGATCGGCGGAGGATTAATAAATTAAAAGCTCAATGATTGAATTTTGTGTATGCATGCATAGAAGAGATAATTAATTGGAACCACAACTTTTTTATTGTAACCGAAAATAACAAAGTTAATTGGACAACTAAAAGAGGAATATTAACAAAGTTTTAAGAGGAGAGATAGAGTATTATTTAGATTCAGATTTTGGTAAATACTCCCTTCATCCCTAAATGTTTGTCCTAGTTTAACTTCACAGATACTAAGGAAATAAATTTGACATTACACTGTAGTGACACTGTTTGACACTATGGCGACACTGTTTAACACTGTTTTGTACTATTTGACACTATTTGATAAAGATTTGTTTGTCAAATAAGGAAGTAAAAAAGTAAGACAAACATTTTGGGACATCCATTTTGAGAAAGTATGACAAACATTTAGGAACGGAGATTAGTACGGAGTATTTTTTATGCCATACCTAAAGCCACCCCTCTGAAATGATGAAGTTCTCGTGGTAAAACTGCCAAACCGACAAGACTTTGTTCAGATGATTTGAATGCAGTACTAAACAACAAAGGGTAGTAGCATGGAGTGAGGCATGAAGAGCAATCAACCATTCTTGGTGTACACGTTTTTGTACCCATCAGTACACGCATGTGTCTGTGAGAGATTTTTTTTGTCTGTGAAACGCGGTCCACAGACATAAGTTCGCTTGTTTTGTCTGTGGAAAATTTCACAGACAAAACAAACCAGCTTTTGTCTGTGGACCGCACTTCACAGACAAAAAAAAACTCTCACAGACACATGCGTGTACTGATGGGTACAAAAACGTGTACAAAAGGATTTTTTGGAAGAGCAATAGCCCGTGTCGCCATGTTTTTCATTCCCCTTCTGTATCCTCTATTTAGTATTCCTGTCTATGTCATTTTTATAAAACCAATTAAGCTGTGCAACTTGAAGAAATATAATTTTAAAATTTACATTTAACTTTATGCCGGTAACTAGCTTATACATGTGTGTTATATATATTGATAAAATCATGTTTTAAAATTAATAAGTTTATCTATATGAAAGGATTTCAGCGGAAATCTTTGATAGTGTGCCAGAGAACATGGATAGAGATCACGGCAGAATGCCTTGCGAAAATTGACGGTCAAATAGCATGAAGAATGCTCCGAGATGCACGAAAAGTGGACCATAAATATCTCTGACCATTGAATTCTCGATCAGACACCCCCCTCGGCCCAGGCATCCTACCTTGATGTTAAAGCAAGGCTGAGACCCCGACTCCAGAAAACATGATACTCTGATATATTAGCGTCACATGTCACCATTATTCGAACAAAAGGTGTTCAACTATTCCGGCGATTTATGAGATAATTAGAGGAACCGTAAAATAAATTAATGCGGACTTGCATAATTGAGAATATATATCAACAAATTTCGGGTTTAATGCATCGAATCCCCTCATGATATGTAAATTCGGTGTATCATCTCCCTGTGATTTTGTGACTAAAAAAGTGAATCAAATCCCTTTGTGTAAGTTGTATTACAATTATTCATACACAAAACCCCTTCAATAACAAATCTTACAACTTTGAAATCACTTTTCTTAATAATAAGGTTAATAAATATGAATATAACTTTGTCAAGATTTCTAAATTATATAAAAATACTAATCATTTTTCATTTATTTGATAGGTAAATTTGTACATAAAAGAGATTGCACATGAATAACTATAACACAGGGAGATTCAACATATTTTTAAATCACAAGATACTAATCCGCGGAATTTATATTTAACAAATAGATTTGATACATTAAACCAACCAATTTCTCACAAATACGCCTCCGTTACTCGAAGCAAAAATATGAACATGCTAGGACGTATATGCAATTGAACGGGACCCAATTAACCGTAACACACACGAGGCATTCAACATGCACAGGCTGTAGGAGGAGTTGGTGTGCATTGGTAGGGTCATATAGTAATGGCATTTTGTACTCAAATTTGTACTTCTAACCAATACTCTCACCCCTCTACTCCTCTAGCTTAACCTATTTAATTTCTGCCTTTTTAAACATCACACTTAAATTCTTATTTCTATTTTAGAAAATAATTAACACTCACAAATAATGATTTATTTATTAAATATGAAAAATAATACACTTCTGACAACACTGCTAGTGACTTGATTATATTTTTTTATACCAATCACAACTAAGGATGTTTTTACTTGGACTGTAATTTGCTGGTCTGGTCTGGTCTGGTCTGATCTGGTCTGGTCTGGTCTGAACTGGTCTGGTCTGGTCTGGTAAGGTCTGGTTTCTTTGTATTTTTATAACTATCCAAGTCTGGTCTGGTCTGGTCTGGTCTGAACTGGTCTGGTCTGGTCTGGACTGGTCTGGTCTGGTCTGGTCTGGGACAAATTACAGTCCAAGTAAAAACATCCTAATTCTCAGAATATATGTGGATGATCTTATTTAATTAATGTTTAAATAACCGTGTCATTTTTTAAAGATAAGATTAAGTTGGATAGAGGTAGTTATTATTTTTTTTTAAATGGGAACATCTCACTTCTGTCAAAATATAAAAGGTAAAAATTGTATGGTTTTGTCCCACTATATATATTTGTGCTATTAGAAACACACATGCATGCGCATATAAAGAGAAATTATGTACGAATTGAAGTACGTAGTATAAATGAGTCTAAAACAGTGCAAATGAAATTTAACAAACACTGAAACACATACGAAGTATATGATACATTGGTACTACGCAAAGACGAGTCACCCATAATAAATATTAGGGCTGGGACTTTGGAACCAAGAACCGGAGAATCGAACCGGACCGAACCGTTATGACTCGGTTCAGTTCGGTTCCAAAATTTATTAGTTATTTGTTAATGGTTCGGTTCCTATTTTTATTAGCGGTTCGGTTCTCAGTTCCTGAAAAAAATATGTACATGGAACCGTTAAGGAACCGTTATAGGTAATAATTAAAATTATATATATTTCTTACTAGTATATATATTTTAATGTATATTTACTTATCTATTTTTATATTACATTCACTATTTTAGTTTAGTTATTTAACTATTTAAAATTATTTTTCATTTTTACCGGTTCTCTTGGGCTTCTTTAACGAACATCTTGTTTTGTTTTATTTACTAAAATTTGTTGTTTGTTATGTATTTATGTTTTAAACTCAACTTTTTAGATTTGAAATGATATTCAACATATTTGTATTGTAATTTCAAATGTTGAATGTCTTTTTGGCACAAATTTAACCGTGATTTGTAAGAATTTTTTTAAAGACTAGGAACCGTTAAATGACAAGAACCGAACCGTTAAGAATGGTTCGGTTCCCCGTTCCTTAACGGTTCTATAAAATAATTTATAAGAACCGAACCGTTAGCAAAATTTCATATTTTCAAACGGTTCCACATATTTTGTCTAGGAACTGAACCGGTCCCAGGCCTAATAAATATAATGAATTGATGTTGATATAGTAATTTAATTAATATAGCTCAGAAACTGATTCCCTTAACTAAAGTGACAAGTTTTCTTCAATTCTGACGATCGACCAAGTAAATTTGTAAATGAAACCTTTTTGTTATACGGAGTATGTGTATAAAAGTGTCAAAAAAATTGTAAGGTATTGCCACATGAATATAATAAAGTTCACAAATAGAATTTAATATATATTATTTCATATATATATATATATATATATATATATATATATATATATGACTTATTTAGTCATACTAAAAGAACAAACATAAAAAAATGAGTAAATGGGTCATTTTTTGGGGGAAGTGACACTCCTGTTTAAGGACATGTGTCATCTTTTACTCCTATGGGAACATTCTCAAACTTATACAAGTATTATTTTGAAATTAAATAATATGTGAGGATTCGTTAAATAAGAAGAAAATAGTAAATCGCACCATCATTGTTTTCTTCGTAAAATCACTCTTAATTAGGAAAGTGTTGTGTTTTTTAAAGAATCAAATTAGTCATATTTTAGAAATAAAACATGATTATCACTATTTGTACAATAATGTATCTATGTTTTACTCATATTTAAAACACTTTCTTGAACTAAATCACCACGGAATCGAGGTAAATTAACAAGTAGCTAGCTTAGTCTGTACTACTATAAGTCTATAAGGCCAATTTTGTGTACCTCTAAAGCACTCTAATTTGTCTATCAGTCTATGTACAAGAATTTGAATATTGCACAAAAAAATCAATCATAATTAGTACGAAGTATTAAATTCTTAAAGCTAATGGTACTCATCAAAAACTAAGTATTGGTTAGATGTGGACTTGTGGCTTGACAAATACCTAATTTTCTCCCGTCCTTGGATAGTTGGACAACAGGACAAGGACAATGGCTCATGGGTTGCGAAAAACTTTATTATTACACATTTATGAATAAAAATAAAATAAGACGTTAATTTATTTGATTAATATCTTATGCATCAAGAGGGGATAAGTATCAATCAAGTATGTTATATGTATATAAATAACTTATAATCATCAACAACTGGCTCTAGAGCAAGCTAGCTAGCTAAAATAATACTCGAAACCATATATGGAGATGGAAATGATATCTCCAAGAAAGCTAAGGGATGATCTCTATTACTGGTACCCCTATAAACAGACGGCCACCGCATCTGCCACCGCTGCCACGCCGTTAGTCATCTCGGTGCTTGCTTCCGTGATAGAGCGGAGAGTGGCGAGGAACGAGAGAATCGCCAAGAGGTACAGAGGAGAAGGAGGACGAGGAGGAGGAATAACGGTAATGTCGGCGTCTAGGGTTTTTGAGTGCCATGAAACCCCAAACATGAGTGTTCAGTCGTATCTGGAGAGGGTTTTTCGATACACCGGCACCGGTCCGTCGGTGTTTGTGGTGGCCTATGTTTACATCGACAGGCTGTGCCTGCTCCATCCCCACTTCCAGATTTCTCCCACCAACGTTCATCGCCTCCTCATCACCACTATCTTGCTCGCTTCTAAGTATGTTGAAGATAGGTACGTAATAAACAGGGTTAAAACTCACTCCATATAGAGTTTCGAACCTGAAACCTCCTGTCTATGAGAGCGAGTCGGCAATCAACTCAGCTGGACCGCTTCCTCGTAATATAATTATGTTTGTTCATGGCAAATTGGCAATTCCTTTCCAAAGAAATTGCTCAAAATAGAGCCTAAAATATAGATAAAGTGCACAAATCTTGTTTAAAGTTCTTGTAGTATATCAACGCAATGAATTGATCATAAATCTATTTCAATCTCTAATTACTTTTATATTATTACGAATTTCAGCCATAAATGTTTTTAATCTGGTTATTGTGATTCTAAAAAATTTAGTGTAGTTTCCAAATAGGCAAGTGTTAATTATTAATAGGGGTAATTTGAGTTTGCACCCCATTTTATCTTCCAAATTGGACTTTCACAACAAAAAAATTATGGGATTGGCACGGATTTGGTACGGATTTACCAATAATTTCGTGCCAAATAGCTCGTGTCAAACTGTTTTTGGCATAGGTTTGACATATCCGTGCCAAAATTCCTGCGAATTTTGAGAAACCCCTGCCAAAAATCTCTGCCAATCCCATGTTTTTTTTTGTAGTGTTTGCACCCCGTTTTTTTAAGATCTTTGTTTTTGCACCCCAACCCTGTATGAAAAGACAAAAATGTCTCTGCATTAACAATTCTGTTGGTCTTCAGCATATTCCTGAGCGAGGAGCATTTTTGTCTTTTCATACGGGTTGAGGTGCAAAAACAAAGATTTTTAAAAACGGAGTGCAAAGTCCAATTTGGACGATAAAATGGGGTGCAAACTCAAATTATCCCTTAGTAGTACGCATTTATATACATATATTATCAGGGAACTCATATTAATTATTATCACCCAGAATTGAACTAGAGAGGCTGGCTATATATATATATATATATATATATATATATATATATATATATATAGCTTAAATGTTTAAATTTATGCGCAGGAATTACAAAAATTCATACTTTGCGAGAGTTGGTGGGCTGACAAGAATGGAAATAAACAGGTTGGAAGTTGAGTTATTGTTTATGATGGGATTCAAGTTGCATGTGAATGTGAGTGTGTTCCAGAGTTACTGCTGTCATCTGGAAAGAGAAGTGAGTCATGGTGGAGGTTACCAAATTGAGAGGACTCTCAGGTGTGCTCAGCATATCAAACTAGCTAAACAAACACAAGATGATCATACACATTTTGTTACTGCCCTCCTGCTTTAGTGTAAATAATGTTTTTGAGTTGGACAATTCAATGATATGTGTATTATCCTTTTTTTCATTTAACAGTTATCATCATGTTCCTCATTAAATGGACCTTCCCCGGAAAGAGTAAAAAAAATATTCGACCATATTTTAATTATTAATATATACTTAAAAATTATATTAAACGCAATTATATATGATTATATATTATGGAGTAATGCAATTAAAGTAATTTACTGTTTCAAAAATATAAATAGTCAAATTTAATAGTCTAGCTATTAGTTTCATTTAGGGAGATTTGCAACTTCATTTTTGTAACTTTTGATTGTTATTGTTATTAGTAATGTAACTTTATTAATTTATACGGTTATTTGATCTTGTGACTAAAAAATATTTGCAATTTAAGAACTTTTTTCACTAGAAAGTGAAAACACCGGCACCGACGGAAATTGTACTTTTTAGGGAGAAAGTCCTTAAATCGCAATGAATTATCAAGTATATGATCAAATTTGAAGTGGTTTATAAAGTTACGGACTGAAAACGATGCAAAGTAACCAAACAAAGTTGCAAAACTCCCTTTCATTTATATTTATGGGGAGAGTAATAAATTAATAATTGATCTCCAAGCCGAAATGGACTCAGATCATCAACAAGGCCTTTCAAGTCTTGACATGGGCTATTTGTGGGTATATAGACCACATGAGTACTGGGAAATCTTAATTCCATACCTAGTTGTCTGTTGGTTGTGGCTGTGCATGCAGGTGGATAAACAAACGACAGCCTCACGCTGATGGATCGGTCGAAGATATTATACTACGTATACAATCATTGATTTAATTTGATAAAACGAAAGGATCAATTCAATTTTTAAAGCCTGCAGCTTGAATTGTATTAGGACATAAATATTATTTAAAAATAATAATTTGACAAATAAGAGAAATTTTTACTAAATTTCCAAAAATAAGACTGAAAATGGGTATGAGGACTATTATACCCTTATTAGCCCAATAGTCCCAATTGATGACAAGTTCCTAGTTACAATTATCCGACTCGAGCAGTTATAGCTATCTGATCCAATCAGTTATAGTTATCTGACTCAACCAGTTACAGTTACGAGACTCAACCAGTTACAGTTATCTGATTCAATCAATTACAAAATAATTACCTCACCCTCTCAATTACGTTTACCCAATTTCGATAGTGACCACCAGTAGCCACGACTGTTAGCCACCAACACCCGGTGGTCCGCCCCCAATCTCACTCCAGCGGCCAGCCTACATGCCATTGTCCCCCCGTCGCTCCCTCGCAGCCAATCGATTGGACTGCAAACTAAATCGTACGGCAAAAGAAGGTATATGAGAAGAACACGAGATGACAGAGATGAACAATGAATATAATGGCGGCGATGATAATGGCCTTGGTGATGGTGGTGGTGGTGGTGATGGTGGTGGTGGTGGTGATGCTAATGGCTTTGGAGGTGGCATTAATGACCTTGGCGGCGGCGATGTTATTGGCCAGTACTTATGATGGTGCGGCAGGTATCTCTTTGGCTGCAGTAGGAATATATATGTACTACGATGAATTAGCAAATGTGAAATTCATAAGAATAATCTCTACTTTTAGCAATTCTATATATAATTATAATTCCTACTCAGAGCATTCAGAAATATAATCTGTACTATCAATGGTGTTCATAATAATAAATTCGGGTGAATTTAAATTAATGTCCGTTTAATAGGGACAAATTCAAATTAAAATCTAGTTAATCCTAAAATCTTTTTAATCCTAACACAATATTAACCATATGTGGTTTTCTCTAGGTTGAAACATAAAAGTTTTAATCAAGACAAAGAGTGATGAAGGTGAAAGCGGAGGTACGGGTAGTGAGTACCAAATGGGCATTAGTTTGATTACACTCCAATTTATTCTTGTAGATACTATTCATAGTATAGATTATTTTATAGACACTCTGAGTAAGGATTATTATTGTAGAATGCATAAAAGTATGAATTATTTTTGTGAATTTCGCCATTAGAAAATCTAGTGGTATTCTTATAATAAATTGAACTCATTTTATCACTCAGAGCTATGCATCTATCATCTTCACAAAAAATGTCCACTACCACAAACTATAACGTATATCGGAGATGTGGTACCATTGCGCCCAGATGCGGTGTGATGATGTCGACTGATGCAGTATCGTTGCAGTTTTATCGCGGTTACGTTGCATATTTTTTTCGTGATTAAAAACACACCGATATACCAGATTACCAGCCTAGTACAATTGGCCCGCCACCCATGCATGACCGCAATATTGTGGCTACATTAGTCGTTGTGGACCGCTACTTAGAAGTTAGAACCATGGTCTAATCCAAATCCTTGTGGTGAGCTGAGATCGAGTAGAGACCATTACTTCAGTCTTCAGAAAACTGAACGGATCAACACCAATGCCTACACAAATACAAGGTTGGTCTTCAAGGAAAGTACACTTGATATCACTCCATCTCTCAATGTTGCTGGTCTCACCTCATTTGACGGCTTTGATTCAAGTTTGAATCCTTCAAGAGGGTCTTCAGAACTAAATAAGAATCATTTACTTCTATTTTGATAATAAAACGTATGGATTACTTAATTCTATTTCAGATGTTTGTCTGTGGTTGACTTCTATTTTAAGAAATTTATTTTGGTTTTATTATGCCTAATTGATATTTTTCAGTCTCCTTTATGTACTTATAAAGCTATACTTCGTTTAAGCTTAATTTTGATCTTGTTGTTTGGACTAAGATTTGATATTGGGTTGGGCTCCTTGGGTTGTTTACACCAAAAGGACCATCATTGTTTTCCATAGAATAGACCAGGACTCAATTATCAAGTCCTAGAAAATAAATTAAAGGAATTGCTTCAAACAAAGTAAAATATAGGCATAGTACATAAGGAGTATTCTTAAGATAAGGCTTATTTGATTCTATTAGAAGCCTAAAACTTTCTCAATTAGGAGTGAATGGTCCTATTTTAGAGAAAAAAACAATATTGATCTTATTTGCGCACTTTATCTATGTTGTGCAAATTATCAATTACTTCTCTTTTTTTTAAAAAAAAAATTGAATCAATTCAACTTTTATATAAAACAGCCATAAGATATGTTTGGCACAACTAGATGAAAAGATACTTTTGTAAGATTTTTAATAACTGTTAGCTTTTAGTGACTGAAAAGATCTTAAAAAAGGTGGTATGTAGTTGTTTGGTAATAAGCCGACTGTTTGATTTAGTTCGATTTGGTATACAAGCTATTAGGACTAATTAGTACTAAAAGTCACGGGCTTTTCTCATATGCTACTCCTCGTAGCATCTCAAAAAAGATCTTTTTAATTTTTTAAAAGCTCTTAAAAATTGTCATGTCAAACATACAACTAGAAGCTTTTAGAGACTTTTTGAATGGTATAAAAGCTAGAAGGCAGAGACTTATGTGTGCCAAACATAGCCATAATCTATTTGTACTACAATGCACTACAAATTTTTATTTATCAGTTTGTTTAATTATAAAGGTTTTCTAGAAATAATGCAATAAATTGTGTGAAACGTATTGTTAATATTTGTAAGAAAAAATACTTCCAATTGTTCTATTAGACTTCTTTTGATTGAATGTGATGAAAATTCAAGATGAATATTTTTCAGTCAAATATATATTTCTCTGGAGTCATGGACTCATGGAGACAAACATGGCATTAAAACTTAAAGTTAATTAGTACTCCGTATATAGAGATAATTCACATTATTGTATTGTAAATTGTAATAGTATGTAGGGGCAAGAAATATGTGTTCCCTATTGTCTTGGATAATGACTAGTTATTAAATGTATTCTTTGGACAGTTAGAATGAGTCAATGAAGCAACTAACATGCAACTTAACACTCTCTCATTTTACTCTTTGGTGGACGGACGAGAGACAAGCACTCCTTAGTCAATCACTTGGTCATCATTCCTTAGTTTTTAATATATTACCATAGATTATTTAAAAAAAAATTATTACCATAGATTACATATGTATATATAGACACAACATAATATTCATATATGCTCTTCTCCACCCGCTCTATCAATTGCTACACTCCTCCCACTTGTCATATCTACTCTCACACTCTTAGCTACGCTCCCATTTCTACCTCTAAAATTTCCACCACACAACAAACCATTATTTCCTCGTGTAAATTAGCTTAATGCTAGGCTTAACCTTAACCCTTCATTTTGCATCAATTCTGGCCTCATATCCCTCAAACAACTTCAACTACAAGAACAAACTCCCCACACTACACCATTTCATCACCCATCTTGTTGAGACCATATTGAGTGATTAAACATATTATTATCAAATTAGACATGGATGGCATTGAACAAGATGAGCAACAACCAATCTTTAAACATTATTGTAGAGTTTGTAAGAAGGGATTTATGTGTGGTAGAGCTCTTGGAGGGCACATGAGAGCTCATGGTATTGGAGATGAAAGTGCCACAATGGAGGATGATGAACAAGCTAGCGATTGGGAGGATAATAGGATGAGTAATGATGGTTTTGGTGGGGGTGAGAGGACGAGTATCAAAAGGATGTATCAATTAAGAGCGAACCCTAATCGCCTAAAGAGCGTTAGAGTTTGTGAGAATTGCGGGAAGGAGTTCTTTTCTTGGAAGTCCTTCCTCGAGCATGGAAAGTGCAACTCGGATGATGCCGAGTCTCTAGTGTCATCCCCTCCCGGCTCAGACGAAGATGATGTTGATGAAGATTTTGGGAGGTGTGGGCAAGGATGGTCAAAGAGAAAACGATCTTTGAGGGCAAAAGTGGGAAGCAGCAGCGGCTTCGGTGGTGTTGCCACTGCTGCTTCCGACGAAGATGAAGACCTCCTCCTCGCAAAATGCCTCATTGATCTGGCAAACACGACGGTGGACAATAACAACAACAATAGTACCAATAAATATATGGTGGTGGAGCAGGAGGCAGAGTCCATCACAACCTCCGCGGAGGAGAGACGGAATCTGCCACCTTTCATAGCCCCGCCATCTAGCCGACCACGATTCGGGGCCATTCAAGAAAAGGCCAAAGGGATAGTTTCTTCATCTTCCTCTTCAAAAGGGTTGTTTGAATGCAAAGCATGCAAGAAAGTTTTCACATCACATCAAGCCCTAGGTGGACATAGGGCGAGCCACAA